CTGTACCGTTTCCACTGTCGCTCACTTGTGGCTCTGTTAATGCTCAGAAAAGCAATAACCTCAGATAACCAAAGGGCAAAGGAAAACCACCGGGGCCAAACTTTGGAAAAGTTACATTTTTGGATTACAGCTTCCAGAATGTCCTCGCTAACAAAAGGGATTCTGGGAAGTGTAGGCAATCATCATCATCATCATCATCATCATCATCATCATCATCATCATCATCATCATTACATCCATACATCCATACATCCATACTACAGCATTGATATTTAACGAATACATAGGTTTTTAGTTAAAACTTGTATCTGTTACAGAATACCAGTCAATGTTTTTATAATTTTGATGGACTGTGCCTGGTGTTTTTGAATAGTAGTAGTAGTAGTAATAGGAGAAACAGGTGCTGGAGGAGTAAGTTTCCAAGCTTTTGATGAGCAGGTCAAAGACCTTACCAGTCCAGTGTCGTAAGAGGTTGTTCTCTAGATCAAAGAACTTTAGGAACTTGTTTTATGCAACAGTGAAAGAACTCACAAGTTGAATTTTTATTGCACTTGGTGTAGCATAAAGCTATGCATGTGGGACTTTGCAAGGAGTTACTCCCAAGAAGATCACACTGGTTGCACAAACTGCACCCACAGAACTGCTTCCGGGATACGACGTCCGCCTCAATGCATACTTTATCCTTTATGCTTTAATGTATCCTTTCATTCCTTTGGCTTCTGTTCTTCTCTGCTGCAGATATTATGAGAGGCTTGCCCAGTATTTGGCATTTGGGAGCCATCAGCGCCCACTTCTGCCGGTGCCAAGGCATATTTGGCCTTTCACCTGTACCTACAGGGCCGCAAGAAGGCTCCCTGAACAGGCAAGCGAGGTGCTTCAATGGCTTAAATGGCCAGGAGACCGGCTTGGAGGTCTCCAGGTCTTGATCTGACCAAACTCAGGATGGAATGGCTCTGGAGGAGGAGAAGGGTTAACTTTGAGAGGTGAGGTGGTTTTTAAAGCCCAGAGACCCTTTCCCACCCATTCACAGCCAGCCCCAGGACTCTGAGGCTCAGCGCAAAGGTGCCTCTTGCTCTGTTATGCCTGCTTTTCTCCCAAACCCTTGCCTTCTCTTCCTCTGGGACATCACAAGGGCCCAGCTCCTGGTCAGCATTTTGGCCCTGGATTACCAGGGAAGGCAGCAACCCTTCCTCACTGCTCCCTCCATCTGCCCATCTTCTGACCAGTTGCTGAGACCAGGCCTTCCGGCATTGTTGCTGGGAGGGAAAAATGTTCCAGCTGGGGGCCATGGATCACCTTTCCCCTCTCTTCTTCCTGCCTTCTGCCAGGCTCCACTGTGTCTGTCCTGATGGGGAATTAATTAAGATCAAATGGTTCTCCTCTGTTCTTCTTACATTGATCCAAAGAAGCTCCTGGAAAATAGGCAATCAAAGCACAATAAACAAAACCCTTATGACAGCTTTTGGCTCCAAAAGTCCTCGGAGCTACTCATCAAGGTCTTTCAAGGCTTTCTCGTTAACTAGCTAATGGATGTAGTGTGTGATTAAGAAGATTAGTAACTCTGGAGGCTGTGGTAATTGGTATCCTGGAAGATACAGGGGGTGATCCTTTTTCAACAGCAAAGGCCTGCCTTTATTTCCTGACCTCTGGAGGTCTGATGATGCTCTCCTCTACGGAAGCAGACATTCAGAGGGTTCTGGGTAAACATGTTAGAAGAAGAGCAGCTGGATGGGGGGATTGAATGCCAGCTGCTCCACTCCAAGTTTAGTCAACAACTCCCGTTGGAAAGATCTCAGACCACGAACCAGGAAAGGAAAGCTTTGCTGCCTTTGAACCGATACCGTCTTATGTTTACTCAGCAAACCTGGGTGTTTTGTTTCTAAAACCACAAATGAAAAGCCTTCTTTTCTTATGACGTGGACTTTTCTGGGCTAAAACTCCTAGCTGGGAACCCTGAATATAGGGTCGTACTTTGGAACAGTCCGTTCTCTGAGCCTGGAGTGATAACACAGAGGGATGAAGAAAGGAGCCATTCAGATTTCAGGGTGGGGTGGGTTTTGCACTGCAAGCCCCAGAGTTCTCCATGCTGGGAATTCTACCTCACATACCAACACCTAAATGTGACTCCCTCGAGAGAGAGAGACCTAAGACGGAAGGCTTCATGGCCTCGTATACGCCTAGTGTCATGATCTGGCCCATACTGCCTGGGTAGCTGCAGGATGAGGGCCAGCCTGACCCAGGAATGGCCTGTTCTTTGCAGGCTCAGGCCCTGGCCTGGGGAGCAGCTGCTGGGCCACTCATGAGGCTCACCTGGAAACCTGGAGGGAAGGCCTATTTAAGGAGGGGTTCTCCCTCCAGAACTTCCCTCAGCAACCCAGGTCTTCTGTTGTGCGTTGTTGTCCCTGAGGTCCTGCCATGGCCTCTGCTCTTGCCTCCTGCATCTCTACATTTGGACTCCAGTGCTCCTGTACCTGTTCTTGCCCCTGCCTCAGTCTCTGCTTGCTTCTGCTGGTCTCCTGCATCTTGGGGCCTTGTTCTTGCTCTGTGCTCCTGGTTCTACCATCTGGCTCCCAGCCTGCTGCTCCTGCTTGATCACGGCCAGCTGTGCAGTGAGTGTCTTTGGACTTGATACCCTGTGTGACAGATGGGGTCCTGGTGCCCTTTTTGCCCCTGGGGAGGAGGGGCTTCCTGGGATATCTTGGACTTTGGCACCTAGTTCCTGCTAGCTTCTGGTTCAAAAGGGATGCTTGCCCAGTGCTAGCTGAGAAGAGGTGGACAGAGTTAGCCCGAGAAGCCTTCCAGATTAGGCTTTCCCCTAGATGAGATGCATTGAGATATCTGTCATTCAGGTCGAACTCCCAGAATGGAGAATTCCGGGGCTTGCAGTCCAGAACATCTCCAAATGGCTCATCTTGAATAGCATAGTTGTTGATAGGACCTGATTTGGGGTCCAGCTCATGCCTTCCACCATTTGCTCCATTACTGTTCTTCATCCACCGAGCTACTCTCCTTGTACGGCAGAGTCCTGACTGATGCTCACAGTGATGATGGAAGGGGCCTTCAGAACAGATAATGTGATGTTCATGTTCTAGACAGCTCCCTGTTAACTGTACACATACATCGCTAGACTTTGGAGATGGTTAGTGGCGTCGAACAATAGATGGCACCTACAAACAGGTCCTTGCAGAGAGAGAAGGTTGCCCATTTCCACCGGTCCTCATGCTTTTCCTTAGGGCCAATTCACACTTTCGGCTTAAGATTGTGGCGGCTGAGAAGGACCCTCACAAGGCCTATACTAGTGACAAAAAGTAGAGCTTCCAGGCCATGGATCATGGTCTGTAAAGGCTTAAAGAAGACGCCCTGGCACAGGATGGGGGTTGGCGTTGCAAGGAAGAGGGTCACTCATTCATGGATCTTAGGGGAACCTACAACGGTCCAAACACTGGCAACTTGGCAATGTAATCCCAATGTTTTTGAATGGCTCACTTTCCAAAACCTTCTTTACGCTGACTCCATGCTGTGAATCCTTCAGCCTCTTCCATGGGACCTCATTTGAGGCGTCTTCTGGGGTGTGTGCTCTGTGCACCAAGGTCACTGGCCAGGCTGCCTTGGTCGCTGGGCCATTAGACAGAACAAGCCTTTGCTCCTTCCTGTGGATGGAAGGCACTTGAGCCCCCAGAGCTAGCCTGGGATAAAAGAAGCCGTTCCACCCACAACCCCTGAGAAAAGATTCACCAGCCAGACCAGCTGGATTTTATACATGGACGAAGGGCAGGAGAGGGTTGGGAGACTCAGGAGGACTCCAGAAGAAGTGGCATGGGCCTGACTCTGACCATCAGTTTCTGCTTGCATAAGAGAAATCTGGAAAAGCTGTGCATAATTTGCCACAAATGGGCAAAAATGGGTGGTGGGGGACTGGGCAGGGGTAGGGGAGAGAGAGAGAATGATAAAGACCAGGGTCTCTTTTCTGTGTTAAGCTAAGAAATCTTGCTGGTCAAGGGGAAAGCTTCTTCCTGGGGCAAAAACTGGGGAGTCACCAAGGATGAGCCCATTTCTCAGTAGCTGCTTTGAACGATGCTTAAGCTTCACAACTTTGATGTTTTAGAAACGTGTTCTCCGTCTTTTGTTGTTAAGTGTGACTCTTTAGGCTATAAACGCTTGCATTTTTAGAATAAAATTTAAAGCATTCTTTTTGACATTTTCTTGTACAGTCCTTCCTTCCTGGATTCTGGGTTCAAACATGACTTAAGTTCTGCCAACCGCTTCAGTTTTAATGCCTCCATCTTTGCACAAGTGGCAAGGGAGGATTCTGTTGAAATAGGTGTGCCTGCAATTTCCTTTCATAGCTGTAAGAACTTTGTATTTTACAACAGCTCGGAAGTATTTTGTGCATATGGAAAATGGAAGCAAGGCAAATAAAGAAAGCTTGTAGAATTAGACAAGCTGGCATTTCCTGGAATTATTGCAACATTATAAAGATGTATACCTTGATACTCAGATGAACATTAATACGGTTGTCTGTGATTATTTGATTTCATTCTGGGATTAACCCTGTTCTTCAGATAAATGCCAGCTGTGATGAACACCAGCTTCTGATTTTTTTCCTCCCCAGGAGGTCTATAAAGTTCTGTAGGACGCTTAGAGAGGGTCAAGCGTCAGTTTTCTTATCTGACACCGAGAATTAGTGTCTTTCTGAGTTCTTGCTGCACCCTAGCTGATTGGGGGGATGAAAAGCAGTTTGTACTGTCCTGAGGGCAGTTTTTATTCTTTCCCTCCCATGGCTAGACACCAAGAGGAGCTGACAGAGCTCACGAAATCCTAGAACTTCATTAAAAGAGAGCAGTGAACAAGGGCAGTTCGCACCGAGTAATGTCATCATGTCAAGAGTTTCCCGGTTTCTCCCTCTTTGTTGCAGGGCATGAAAAAATGCACAATGTGATTTGGATAGTTTAAGAGAGATAAAAACTCTTGATGGCTTTGTGTTCCCTCCTTTCCCCAGGTGGTACAGGAATGGAAAACCTGCTGAGATGATGCCTGCGATCCTTACTGAGGAGACGGCCTCCCCTTTCTTCTTTCTGTGGGTCGATACTGGATTGATCTGAGGACCTCAAGGATGAAGCTCACCTGCATGTTCTCCTTCATCCTGCTGTTTGGAGCAGCTGGACTTGTGGTCTTCATCCACCTGCAGGATCCAGAAGAGATCGTTCATCAGCAAACACCAGGTTGGTTGATTGGTTGGTTTTCCCAGTTCCTTACACCATTTCTTGTGAGGTTGTTCCTTTCACTCAAAGAACACCTGGTGGCTAGAAACAGGTGCAAGCCTTTGTCATGATCTGAGAGAGTCCATTTGCATCCTAAAGATGTTTGCATTGCCCATGGAAGGAAATTTGTGTCAAATTTGGCTGAAGTCCTTGGTAGGTCACACAGGGTCCATCTGTGTAAGGAGGGCTCCCCGTTGCCTCTGAACAGTTCGGTGTTCCCGTTCCAGAGGAAGGATCATTTGCAACTTTTGCTGGAAGCTACAGAACAGGTGGGCTGACTCAGCCAGTTAATCTGCAACCAATCACAGGTGCAAATGTCTACCTGTTCCTGTGTGTTTTCATCAGTGGGGAGTCTAGTATTCAAGACAGAACATGTCTGGAAGTATTCACTATGGATGGGACTTTTGAGTTGACCCAAGTGGGGTGAAAACATGAAAGAGATCCTTTCTTTCATTTCCAGAGCGGTTTGCTATTTTTCCAATGACAGCCTCTGCAATAGAAAAGATTTAGGATTCCAAAATAGAGGCTAGCAAAAACTATGGATTTCTTTCATATATCCCATTTTGGATCATCTTGTGTGTGTGTTTTTGGCCCTTATTTTATTGATGGCTGGGAAGGTCTTCCTTCATTTCCTTTATTGTTTGCATGATGTGCCTGGCTGACTGTCCTTCACCTGTTGGACTACTGCCTGTGCTGCTGGGTTGAAGAAATGAAAGTGGTAGACTGGAGTGTAGTCTTCCCAATACCCCATATTTGGGGGTGATCAGATTGGGAAGGGTTTGGTAATATTCCTCTGAGTGAGTGTGTGTGTGTGTGTTGGGGGGGTAGTTTTTTCTTCAACCATGACAATGATTTCTCTTGCTCATCTGTATTGTTTCCTGCTAAGGAATTGATGAGGTTGATGGTATGATAATAAATGTGAACTTTAAGGTACAGTGAGTTTCTGCAGCAGTCCATGGACAGTTTATTTTCATTTCTGATATATTCTTGTTGCTCCCCACTTTTGGAGGCGAGGATTGTCCGTTGCCTTATCCATTCCTTTTGGGGGACGTCGGAGTCTTCTGTATGGCTAAAGTGGGTCTACCACCAGAAACCAGAGTGAGACATCCAAAATGGAAGAAATCAAAAGATTTTGGCTCTTTTGGGTTTACTGAACGGTCCGGAGTCCAAAAGCCTTCCCCCCCCCAAAAAAAACCCAAAACCAAAATAAATTCAAAAGTGTCCCCCTGCACATCCTTAGTGCTTACTAGCAAAAGACCGCAAAGCACATGAAGGGGATTCTAGAATACCCGACATTTTTGTGGGCAGAAAAAGCAACAACCTCCCACGTTTCAGGTTTCAGTTGCAATAAAGATAGCACTGTCTGAGTCTTCCCTATCTGTAAAGCTGCATTTTAATTATCAGTAAGAACTCAATCTGTTTTTCACTGTCAAAGGCTGGAATAGGCAAGGCTGTTACCAGCCACATGCACGGGGAGAGAGGTTTCTACTGGGTCTCTACAAGAATGCGGCCAGAAATGTGCTCATTTTGTCAGCTTTCGTTGGCTTGTGTGTTTGATCCAGGAATTGCCCCACCTTTTGAATCCACCAAAACCAAAAGCTTAGGTTTGTAAGCAGAGTTTTGGCTGAAGTGTGAAGATGGAATAAAAAAGACTTGTGTGCAGAGTTTCAAACTGCTGAATTATGAACTGCTGTTTATGTCTAGATTTCCACAATAGTGAAGTGATTCTGACTCTTGTATGAATTGTATGTTGGTAACAGATGGGAAAAGAAATGTGGTGGCTTCCAGATTCCCATTGAAACTAAAATTCGGCAATTCCGAACAACTCATTGCCTTCAAGGGCATTTTGTGCGTGCAAAACCCTGCACATAATTTAAAGTGAGAATGGCTAAAATTGCATGCTATCAAAGAAAATACACACAAGGATGACTGACTAATTAGGGGAAATGTATACAAATGTTTTCATTATGGGAACTGCATAAAAAACCTGGATAAAATACAAAAACCAGGTGTGGACATAGTATATACAGATACGTAGCTGTTATGGAAGGCAAAAAAGTATCTTGCCACATAATATGAACCCAAAGTGAGAAAAGAATACAGGTGGGTTCAGAAAAATACAATCAAATTGAGACACATACCCCTAGTACTTATTTGATAGGTATTTCCTCTTACAGCTGAAAATACAGGTTTCAGTATCAACACTGACATTCACAAATACTGTGTGTGCATCCCTCCTTTAAAACCTCTGTGGATACCCAGTGGGGTATAATAGATAGAGGGATGGACTAGACCTGGAAGATCCAGGTTCCAATCCTCACTCAGCCATGAGGATTCCTGGAGGGAGGGAGTGGAGCCAGTGAAATAACTTCTTAAATATCTTCCTTACATCGAAAGCCACATGAGGGTTGCTGTAGGTCCGTTTTGACTTGAGACACTGACCATCTGTGTAAGGGAACAGCCTTGCAGCCCTTTCTAGCTGTGGTGGATTACTCCAGGTTTGCTGGGACATTGACTAGACTCTAGGGAGAAGACTTGACTGGAGCTATCCATGGTGCTGAAATCCTGTTGCTCACCGCTTTGATTCCACCCGATGTCCTCAGCGGTGGAGCAGAGTTACGTTCTAAGGAGAAAGCCATTCTTCATTGTTAATACATTCCGTCTGGTTTAATTTGGGATGGTGTAGCTTATAAACCAAGGTTAATAAAGGGTAGCTTGGTCCTTTCATTTTCACTGTCTAGTTTAACAACGGTTCTTTATTATTTTTAGCCCGAACAACCACGATATGAAACCCTTGATGTACTACTTAAGCCAGAACAAAACGAGAGCCATAAAACTTTAAGCAATGCTTACATTACTTCCCGTCAGCAAAGTATTTGTGACAGTAGCTGTTTGTGTTGATTTGTGACCATCCATTCCTCCTCTTCCCCATGATTCACATTGCAACCTAATTTTAATCCTGTACTGAGAAAGCAATATCTAAGTAATTTTCCACAACATTAGTTACAATTTTCTTCTGATCCTTCAAGTGAAACAATCCTATCCTGTTGGGTTCTCTGAACATATAAACCTTGATTACATTTGTCCGTTTGAAGCAACGACTTATTGTATATGTGTGTGTGTGTGCCTGTGCGTGTGCTTGGGACACTGTGGGATGTAGCTTCTCTTCTTTCTTCCCACTTTTCCCCTTTATTTCCTGGTGTTTGACAAACATTTCCTCTTGATAATTTCCATGTAGTACAAGGCATTTTGCTTTCTGTAAACATTATGACTGACGGGGTTTTAGAAAGGACAAAATGGGTTTTGTGAATATTTACATGCATGAAACAGATTTTTAAAAAATCTTTCCCTGTCTTCATGAAACTGTGGTAGCTTTACCCACAGCAGACTGGTGCAAAGATGTTATTGCTAATGAATACTGGAGTGGAATTTATAAGGCTGCAGCGCGTGCTTCTGGTTGGGAGATCTGCTTTGAAAGCCATACATGGTGAACAGCTGAACGGAGAGATGGCCAGAATATGCTCTTCCCTTGCATCACCTGGTTCCACCCACCACAGCTACCGTTTCTGTTGGCCAACATGACCTATGCCCTCTTTTCCCACATTATTGGTAAATCTGCATAATTAGCCTTTCATGGTCTCTTCCAGAGATGTCATTTCATAGCTCCTTTCTGGACGGTGTGATTTCCCCCCCAAAAAAAATATATCTTGGCAAACATATTGCTCTCTGTAAATTTCATATTTTTAAACACCCCGAAGCACAAGCCTCAAATGCAGAGAGCAACGTCATAATTACCAGTGGTATACATATATTGTGAACAGTCTGTCATGAATGACATTCATGGAACATCTATTAGGTAGGTTTAAAACCTATCTTTCCTTCAAGCAGAACAAGACAGGATAAGTCGTTCTTATAGATAGACTCACATGTTTCCATCTGCACATCAGCTAAGTGAAGTAGGTTAACCAAAGTGATGAGAAGCATGCGTGTCTCTGTGATTAATGAAGATATCAGCCTCAGAGGCTTAAATTAGCTGAAATTTAAGAAAGTACACACACATTTTTATCTTTCCAACAACTGTGTGAAGTGGATTTTAAAAAGAGAGATGAAATATATGTGCATTTAATGATAATGTCAGCAATAAAGTGGCACAGAAGTTGCTGTTGTGAAGACCCACAGATGGGTGGATGCGCAGAAAAGAATCCCCCACCCATCAGAGATGGCTCACCTTGACAAAGGTTGAGGAAGAGGGGCAGGACTTTAGGAGGTGTAATTAGGAAACATTGGTGCATACAATGACAGGAATACCAAAAGACCAGCCTCTTGGAACACAAATGATTGGGTATCTGAAAGTTACATCGTTTGGCTGTGTGTTTGGCTGTTCATGGCCCCTCTTTTGTGTAACCACTCAGCAAGCACCCTTTGTATGCCAAACTGAGAAATTATTTCTCACCCAATAAGAGCTGTAGGGGCTGCCAGAAGCCAGTCAGAACGTTCAGGGCATGGATGTTGGCTGGTGTTTGGGTCCGAGTCCCAGTTCAACTTCCCTACTTAAAATAAGTTCCCCCATCAGTGCAACTTCCCTACTTAAAATAAGTTCCCCCACCCAGGGAAAAAAAGGATGGGGTGTGTGGGTGGGTGGATCCTCAGTCATGACTCAAGTCTAAGTCATTGGGAAAAAGGAACAAATCAAGTCACCAGGGCAACTTAAGTCTGACTTGAGGAAAAAAAAGGATGGGGTGTGTGGGTGGGTGGATCCTCAGTCATGACTCAAGTCTAAGTCATTGGGAAAAAGGAACAAATCAAGTCACCAGGGCAACTTAAGTCTGACTTGACAGCAAGTCTGTAGATATGAGTCTCCCATCCCTGGTTCATTGTGTGTAGGAATTCTAAGCCTGTAAAAGGACCTGGAAGCCAGTGAGGATTGGCTTCAATGGTTACTGTGTGCTGAGCTTCTGGTG